TATAATAATATACAATATAAGAATATACTAAATATAACTAAGAATAAACTAACTAATAATATATATAATAATGAATAATACTAAGATAAAAATAACTTAAATTTCTATACTAAATGCTACACTAAAATCTACTTTGTAACATATTCCTCCCCTTAAGATTTTTACTCCGTAAAAATCCTTTGACTTTTGTATCATCTACAAAAATCAATAAGCCGATTAAAATGTGTTTCACTCAGTTCACCAATAGTTTTGAGGGTAATAGTCTGGGTGCGATAAATTTGTTCATATCCAATAGCATTGAATAAGTGGTAGGTCCTTTTCCAAGCTCGTAGCTGGTTTATTTTAATTTTGTGTCGAGAATAGGGGTTATCAATTAGTAAAGCTCCTAGATGATAACCATATGCAAGAGCTTGCTCCCTGTTGTAATTTTTCCTATTAGTAATATTGGCATATGCTTCAAGAACCTTTTTGAAACATGGTTCCTACGGGGTAGTCACAGTTGCAGATACGGTAACAGAATGAATTTTACTAGGGGTCGTGCGAATTAATTCAGCCTTAATTTGTCCAAGTGGATCATTGTTGTTTGCAGGGGCTGCATATGATTGATCTATATTTAGAATAAAGTTGGTACTTGAGGCATCACACAAAATAGTTCCGGTATATTGCAGTTGTTTACACAATTCCTGCAGTTTACAGGCCTTGTAATAGAGTCGAGGAGTAATCCAAGAAGGCAAGTTGTTGGGTAAGGACATTTTTGTTAGATAGATTTGGTTGGTTTGTTGTAATTATTAAAAGAAGAGGTGTTGGCAGAATTAAAGTGAAGGAAGGCAATTTTGGGTCCTTTATATATCTGTTGAAAATTTTGTTCGCGCTTCTTAGTTGAAACCATGTTATAAAACCGTTCAACCCATGCTGTCTTGTCGTATCACCTATGTGCAAAATTCGTTTTACATATGCTGTTTTCTTGTGTTCCCTATATGGTAAGTCTTTGTCTTCCAAAAATAGCAAACAAGATTTTGTTTACTAAATTGCAACATAACCATATGGCTCTATTTACTTCCTATTTTGGCTAATAAAGCATACTTTTCTAGGGGTTATGGGGTTTCTAAAAATAAAAATTGCTACAATATTCTATTGGTGCAATCTCTAAAAATAAAAATTTCTACAATGTTTTATCGATAACAATTCTTTGTCTGTTTCCTCCCCTTAAAATGTAAGGTCTCCGAACTTCATGTGCCAATTTGTCTAAAATTAGCTATTG